TCTGATTATCTCGCCGTATCATCTTTCCTATTTAAAAAAAGGTTGGTTTTTTGAATTTTACTGACAGTGTTGAAATTGGGTGCACATTAACATACATAAATAGTTCGAGTATTTCTTTCTTTACCTCTCTCTATTGATTAGCCTTTTGTTAAACAGAAAAATTGGTAAAAAAACAATTGATCCTCTATAATATCATATCTAGCTATCATATATTTGATACTATTATAAAGAGAAATAATATTGTAGAGTACACGGAACTGGTCAAAAATATTATTATCGGTATGGGGATTTGTGAAGACTGTAGTACTTTTACTATTGAATTCACAAATTGATCTAAACTGAGGAGCCTCGTGCTAGGATGAAACGGCTGTCCAGTGTTTCTAGGTTTTCAATGGTAGTCTGGCTTAGATCGACTCGTGAATCCAACCGTCAAAAATATTGTAGTTTGTATTTATTTATTTATTTTAACACATAAATATTGGTACAAGGAGGCACCAAATACATATGCGCCACACAAATCTCATTCGATAGGTGTGAGGGCTGTGATACTGCCCGGGTGCGAAAACCGAAGCAGGTGGTTTTCTTAGGAGACCACTCCCCGAGCCTTCGACCTGAAGGTCTGATCCACAAGGCAGTGGAGCAAAGTAAGGAGATGCGGTCCCATGGTAACCGGTGACCAACATCTGGTTCATACACCATTTGTTCCCTCAGGATACTGGAATCCATGTGAACCATTGGTTTGGAATCCGGTGAAAGCGCCGGACATTCGCTTTTCGTCCTCTCATTTTCGTAAACAACATCCCCGCCACGAGAAGACAATGAGTAGGACTTCCCTGGCAGAGGCTATATACGCGTGTCCATGTGAGAGCATTTCGATAGGGAGAGCGGACTCTCCTCACTCTCAGCCGTACCAGGGCATTTGGGGGCCATTGTTGTTTGTACTTAAAAATATAGCATTAAAGAAATTTATTTATAATTTGTTGAAATTTTATGTATCGGTTTTCTCACAGTTTTCAGTAATTTGACATTTAATAAAACGATTATTATTATTACTATCGTGATCACTAAAATAGTAGAATATTGATTATCCAATTAATAATTGACAATGTTTATGACTTAAATCGGGTCTTTTCTTTTCAATTTTATCTTCCTAAACTGACTGTTTATTTGTACGGTGTGTTCATCGTTAATTGACATCGTGGGATGTGACAATGTGTGAAATACCTTTACATCATTGATAGGAAATACAATGAATACATCAACAGAATAGTCTTTGAAATAATTGGGGAAAGGTTGTAACTTAGATGAATGCTTTTAATTGTATTGTGTTCTATAACCGTTGATTAGTTTGATTTTGAAGCTCAGCGCTCATCACTCAGCACAACACAAACAATAGCAACTGAGTTATATAAATGAATTTGGATATGTAGTTTGTACTGAATTTCGTATTAATTATGGTTTATAACATTTGATAACTGTCTTCAGGCTTCTATTTACATGGTAAACTATAAGAAGATGGTTATTTCATGATTTATTCTCTAGAAAGTAAAACTTCATCGAAACTTCATACACAATGTTGTGAAAGTCACCTACATAAGTTTAGAGAAGATAAAATAAGAAAAATTGTACGTCAAATGATAAGTGTATGAAAAGAATGCCTTATTACTAAATATCGTCTAAAACTATATTTATTAATAAATGTTAGTCGAAAAGTGTTAGATCCTAATGTCAGTGATGTAAACACTACTATTTGGTTTGTGTAGGATTTCCACTCAATTCTTCTAATCTGAATCTGTATTGTTTGTTGTGAGATATGATCGAGTTGAATGAATAAAACTGGTGAAAATCTTTATTATCTTTCAGTGAGTTACTTTTTTGCTTTCTTATTAATCAGACATTACAACGAAAACCTTTGGTTAGTGTATTTGTATAGTGTAGATGCATTATAGATATCATTTTATGTTATTAATTCACACCGTTGTATTCTAACTTTGTTGATCTAATCTTCTTACCTTAAAGCTTTTAAAATTTATATAGAAACAAGTTAACATTAAACTGATGGCGTGTACTCATTGTAAGCAATAAAAAGGCTTAATTCAAGCATATAACAGAGAATGAAATGGAAACCTAGTGTTTGAACTGTATTCAACTTTTAACTAAGATCAAATATTCGAATCTCATTCCACTTGGAATGATTTAGGTAACTCGGATAGTACGTTTCAAAGCCCTATTTATATTAAATATGTACTTGATCAATAAATAATATTAAATAATATGGACAGCTTAAATTACTGTTCAATGTTTCATGATTTTCAGATATTGAGTTTATTATCAATTTTATTGTTTTGATTCATTCGCTTTCTCTCGCATTTTCCTTCTCTCATCTTCTCTTCTTTCGCTTTTTCTCGCTGCTTTCATATAAAATGTACCAACTTAAGCTATATACACCCACAGTTTCGTGTCAGATTCGACGTTTACACATATTACATTTACTTATTAAATACTGATTAAAATGCACACACAGACATGGAGAATTTAATTACTCTTTTAAGAATGTGCTCGAAATTCATGATGAAAAATTATAGGATCAAAACTAATGAGAAAATGACACATTCATTAAATTCCAATATTCCTTCAGTACGTTTTCTTTTTACTTCTTGTAAAAGTTATATTCCGTTCTTTATCCTTCTTTTTCTTTTTTTTTGAACAAAGCGGTATCTATGTGTTTGTTTAAAGCAAATTGTGAACAATTACTTTCGTTGTGAAAAATATACCCAAAGCATTTTCAAAGTCTACATTCCTTTCCAGGTCAACCATTTATCTGTCATAAACGTCAAATTTTTTTTTGGTGTTTCTCTGTATCTTTGACTTTGTGTGTGTGTGTGTGTGTGTATGAGTGTTAAGTCACTTTATTATTGTATACGAATATATTTGTGTTTCTTTCTTAGTATAATTATGCCTAATCATGATTGTTGTTAAAAATGACTGTTTAATGAATCTAAAACTTTCCTTCCACAAAAAAAAACTGTGAAAGAAACATGAGATGGATTGAAATCACCAAGTTGAATAGTGTTTTTTTTTAATAGTTGATGATGATAGATTAGAATGAATCGTTAGAAGGTGTGTTACACTTGTTTCAGTATTATTATTTACAATCGTTTATTATTATTACCATTATTACTATTATTATTATTATTATTATTATTATTATTATTATTATTATTATTATTATTAGTAGTAGTAGTAGTAGTAGTAGTAGGAGGAGGAGGAGGAGGAGGAGGAGGAGTGTTATTGCTACCACTAATTATACATTACATATTAGCATTTTATTATACTGAAATGTATTTTTCAATGTTGATTTATCTAGTCTTTGAGATACAACATGTTTTTATCATTCTCCATTCATCAAAAACCTTAAAATTAATGTGTCTCGATAAAGCTCAACACTTAACATATAACATTTTATTATATTTAAACTTGAATCATTTAGGTATAAACTGTATGCGTAAGTTTACTAAGAATGATTTATTAACTAACAAAACTTTTTACATGATGTTCATCAATAATCTATAGACAGTTTTGAGAGGATATTTATCGATGTTAGGGAGCATTAGTTCATTGTTGTAATAAAGATTTTATTAGGTTACAAATATTCATAGATATAATGGTAAGGTAACGTGCTCAACTACTACACTCGATATGATCTAATTAAATATTAATGCAAACTTGTTTTGAAGCAATATTTCGACTTTATATAGAGGAAAATGGTTTCTAAATAGTTGTGTTGTTTACAAAGGCTCTCAGAATGGTCATCATTTTGCTGACGTCTTTCTTTAACATGCTTACACAAACCTTTTAGGAAAGTTGTGAAGGCATCATTTAACGCCTCTGTCCCAAACATGGATCTCCAGGGTTTCTGCTAATTTCATGTAAACCATAGTTAAATTCACCTGGTAATTATTTACAGCCATCAAAGAGGTAGTCACATCTGTGGAAGATAATTAAATCTCTTCAATGTTACAGGTTCGCTATGATGTTGAGAGATCACAGGTATGAATCATAGACCCTAGTCTATACTGTTGAATGTCCCCAAATTTCAGTCATCAAACAGTTTGCACCACCATGTCGAGTCGCTTCTTTTCTTAACTATGCTTTGAAAATATTCGGTTACTTAAGTTGAATTAGCTCCAAGTCCTAAAAATCACGACGTTAGTTATCTTTTAAGGAATGATTAGCTTAATATTTCAGAGTACAACGTAATTTTTTATCATTTAGTTATACGTTTTTAACGAAGTCAGCATTGAGAATTTAATAGAATGTGATCCCATGCCTTTGTCTATTAAAGAGATCATATGTTGCACAGTTTTTGTTTATAAATGTTAAGTTCTTTCATTTAACAATTTTTCTAACTCATATTTTTCCATTACCTGTCTGATTGGTTGCTAACTAATTTTATATTTGCTTCAAGGTTATGTTTTCGTTACTATATACACAATGTGGTATTATTTCAGTTTATCTGTTTGAATAACAAGTTTTACTGCACTCTCAACCTTCTGTGTTCCTTCGCAACTGAATATTATTGTAGTGGGTATGTTTGTTGCCGTTTCGTTGAGTCTGTCGTAGAGACACGTTCGTATTAGAATAAACTTGGTCGTTTTCTAATTAATAAGTACCGTAAGCCTATACCAAACAAACTCCAATACTCAGCAATATCATATATTTTATCTTGGTCAACAATTTATGCTCTGTTGATGGCGTTTATAACTTGTAGCACCAAATGATTCGTGCTTCAGTTAATGTTAAAAAACAAGCCCCTTCATGATGTATTATACAGATTGTTTTTGAGTACTGGTAAGTTCAATACTGATATCCAGAATTGCCTGCCGATCGTTTTACATTTGATTTGTTTCAGTCCAGTTCCCCCTTCTCAAATGTATCAGCAGTAATATTCCATTATACTTCTGTTAGTTTCATACTGTTTTCTTTATGGTTACTATCAGGTCTGTTGGGGTTCTTACATATTATCTACTTACTGGAATCTCTCCATTTCTTGGTGAAGATAAATATATCACAATGCAAAATATTACTCATAATACAATTACGTATCCTGATTCCCTTTTTAATAATCGTTCACCCGATTCAATTGACTTTATTCAGCGCCTTCTACAACGTTCACCGACGTAAGTTTTGTGTAGTACATACATGTTTTATTTTTCTCAGTTTTAGAAAATTGATTTCGTTGATGGTTTGAGTAGTATTTTGTTCTTCTTAAAAATGTTACTGAACTGGTACTACAATTAGAACAGATAATGAAAATATCACGCCACTACTTTTATTTTATTTTTTTCGATTCAGAGACAGGTGAAGGTAAAATGAAGTGAATTTTCATTGTGTATTTCCCCAACCGTTGTTGCTATCTTTACTTGTTGATCGGGCTTGCCTATCCTAATGACCTGGCTGAGCTATATTGGGTGGAACAATTACTTCTTTAGGTCCAACTTTTTCAAGTTGGTCAATTGGGGAACAGTAAGACTAAAAGCAAAATATTTATTTTCCGGGGGGGGAGTCGTACTGCTAATTGTACTGAGGTTTGATGAGAGTAAGGTATTTCCCAGCATCTTCAACGATATTGTCTTTTCCCAACAGAAGGAAGAGAGCTGGAAAAGTTTGGCCCAAGAAATGTTACGTCTCACCTTACCTCGCGAATTTTGGTCGCAAGTGGTAAGACCTTTCGAGGCACGGAGCTAACACATTACAAACGTCTCACCTACCTTGAGGAGTTCTTCCTTGGGCTGTGTGGTCACACTTCCAGAACTCTACATCCACTCTGAACCAGTTCCTTTTCTGGTCTCCTATGCAGAAATACTATTCCTTGATTTGGACAACCGGAATGTGAAAACCTCTTTTACTCCTCTAACTGCACTGATTGTGCATTTCAGATTATATGAAGCATCTTTCTGATACTACTAAGCCGAAACAGATTGATTTTAGAAGTATTGAACTGTTACTAAAGTTTAAACACTTGTGTTTATATGGTGGATAGACTCTGTAATGATCATATAACTTTCATAAAACATCATATCATATTTATTCTGTTATTTATGTGTTATTATTATTTGCATTATACTGTTGTGTTCGTACTCTAATCTAAATTATTTACGACTGCGGTATAAATCGAAATTCATTCGACTTTTTCGGTTTTTCATTTATCTAACAGGTAGGTACTTACTTAGGTAGGCAGGTAGATAAATAAATCTAACTCATTGATTTATTGGCTATGATATACTATTTAGTTTCATGTATTTGTAAATTATAACGTTTAGATATTAGTTATTATTCTGCATGTTCATTTTCATGATAACAATTCTTATGTGCGTAACAGTTTGAAATTGTTTGTATCAGTCTATTTATCCAATGATTGAATAATGTATTCACTTAAATAAACTAGGCATATATATTTCAACTGATTCATTGTAAATTCAAATCCTGTTTCACTCAAATAGTATCATTAAATTTCAGACTAAATGTATGCTATTTAGCTTTGACTAAAATGGACATCCTTTCTCGAATAAATTAGGTCATCATAGAGAATTACACATTGCGTGTGTTTGTTTTTCCATTTTGTAGTTTTGTAGTTTGAGCACCTTTATTTAGATGTTAAAAAGTTACAAAGATTCCATTTTGTCCCTACGATATACGACCTTATATTTTTAGAAATCTGATCCCATACCTAAATTTGACAGTTCTTAACTCTTTTTTCCCTCCAAATTACTGTTATGCTAGTGAGGATTGGACGTCGAGTAGGTATAACTAACACATGTTTTAGATAATGTTAGTTTACAACTCTACTTGGTGGGTACCATTATACACAAGCGCTGCTTCAGTTTCACTTTTGAAAATTAAAACCATTTAACGTAGCGTTCGCTCTGTTTTCATTCATCGATACAAATGGTTTGATTTGTATATTAATTGTAAGTCGTTAAAACAATCACTTACATAATAATTTAGATCATATTCAAACTGGTTTTACACACTGGAATGTGGAGTTAACGGTGAATTCACTAGGCTTTCTATCGGTCGGTTGCAGGTTTGAACCCCACTCCACCTATTTCAGTTTGGCCAGCCAGCTAGAATCATTAGGACTCACATAAACAGCTTGATAAAATTAAGCGTTTTATAATTAGTGAACCTCAATCATATTAGTTGTAAGCAATCTATTTACCTATTCGGAATTAATAACCGTAGCGTTTTGTGTTGGAAATTAAGTAGATTTCAAACATTCAACCTCAGCGAATTCCTACTCGACCCCTTCTAAAAGCATCTCAGTCTCTGTGAAAACTAACAGTACTAACAGCGTCGTGGATACGTACTGACGATGAGTCCTGAATTAAGATGAAACAACTGTCTGACTTGACTCTTAGTTCCTCCCCAGTTGATATATATTTATGGGTATTAGAGAATGGTGGTAAATCAATTGATGAGGTTGTGAAGCTTTATCGACTGAGATGGTTGGGCCATGTGTTACATATGCCTGAACACCGATTACCACAACGCGAAATGCTGACTAGTGTTGTGAGTGGTTGGAAGAAAGTTAGGGGCGGCCATACCAAAACGTGGTATCAGTGCTTGAAGTCACTAACTTCTGATGTGAGTCATGTTGGTAGATGCAGACTACTTGGTTGTGGTCGACGCGACTATGGTAAACACTGGTTGTAAAGTGTGTGTGACATGGCTTAGAATCGATCACAATGGCGTCAGTGTATACACTCTTTGTCTTCCCTTAAACTGTGAGATTAGAATCACTTTATAACTTTCTTTCTACGATCTAATTTTTTCTCTTTATATGCAATCTTTCTTTTCTTTATCACCACCATTGAAGTAACTACTATGAGTTTGATGTTCGTCTTATTTTGCTAATGAGGTGTGGCAACTTGGATGGATGCATATATTTACCTGGTCTCACGTTGTAGCTGACTGACTGATATATATTCATGACAAAAATCACCTTTAAAATATTTATGTATAAACAAACTTTATTCTGAAATTAAAATTTTCATTCCCATATATGTGATAACGAGAGTGACAGAAGAAACAATTGTAGTAATGCTTTAAAATTACTTCCTTTTATCGTTGCTATATATATTGGATTATTATTATTATTGTTAAGTAGGGAAGTTATTGATGCTGTATGCGTTACGCTTTTCTAATTTAAAATAAATTGTCGCAAAAATCATGCTTATTCATATTACATGTGAATCATGTATGATTCATGATGTAGTTACTAGTTAGTTGTTCTTATGTTGTTGTTCTTTTTTAATGTCAATTTCTGTCTGGGTTATGACTGATTTAAATGATAATGATGACTATAATAGTGACCATTTTATCTAATAATAATAATAACAACATTAACAAAGAAAGACAATTTAGCTTAAATCTACCGTGTTTTTTAGCGGAATTATTATAATTACAAAAGTATAAGGAAGAATTCCTTTCAGATATTTAGTTGGAAGGTGAATAGAATGAAGGATCATTACTGTTTGCTTATCTATCCATATATATATCAGATTTGATAAAGCATATGACTTTTGCTTATGGTTAAGATACAGAGAGAGGTTTCAAAGCTTGTAGAGTCAGTGATCTACAAACTTTTCAGTATATAGGTTAGGTTTCTGTATGTGTATTGTGATAGCTTCAGCGTTGGGTAAAAAATGAACCCGTAAACTATGTGGTAAATTTAATGGATTATAGTAAATAACTTTAAAATTTTTGTCCGAGTCAACTTATATATCCTGGGCTAATCAATCTTAATATTCTTGATTATCCTTTGCTCAACGCATCGTGATAACATTCTGTTATACAATTACTTATGACCTATCTAACTTGCTAAACAGGAAAAGTTATATTAGTAAGGACACATAGATGTGATGAATTTAGGCAGTCTATCTTTGTTAGTGATTTTCGTTATTGAATGATTGTAAAGAACCACTTTCAATTTAAATGCATTAATTTTTTTATCAACAGTTTTTCTTAGTCGTTTTATCAGTTAAGGTTTAGGGCTAGGTTTAGATGATGACACCTTGCAAAAACACATTTCATTTTCTAAATTAAACTAACTTTGAAACTGAAACGTCTTTCGCTCTGGTTTTCGTGCGAAGTTCAAGTGTCAAAGTTTGTGGGGGGGGAGGGTCTAGTGATCGATCTACTATTCAATGTCTCAAACACTTAATGTATAGAGCTTATTAAGAATCTACAATGTGGTTTTTTGTTTTATTTTTACGTCATAAATTCCAATGTTTCTCTACATTGTAACAAATATTAGTATTCCCAATATTAGATTGGAAATTATTATCTATTGTTTAAAGTAGAAAGGTGTTATCCATGAAAATATTCACGGTTATTATCGTTACCATAATGATTATTCAATTAATAATAGAGAGAACAGTAGTGACATTACAAACTGTGAGCCTGGACAACTCGGATCTGAATCTGACAATTAATATGATTTCTCTCAAGCTTGTAGTGTTGCTTCTTGCTGATTTATACCAGGTACCACTAAACCTTGTTTCATAATTTTCATCCATTTACCTCCATCCACCTTGGACCATAGAGATGTGAGATTATGATCAAATGTGTTTTCCACTTTTTCTTTCGAATGTTAATTTAAATGTCATTATCTGCACGTTTTTACACATTCATACTAACTGATCGCTAAATAGTGGTGGTAACTGACATTATGTTGTCAATTTATTAGTGCTGAGTAAATTTTATCGATTACATTGCATATTAACTGTTTATCTGATTGCGTGTACACTATCTTTCAAGATAAGATGGTTGAAAACAAACTGATACTGGATGTAGGTTTCATGCTAGTTGACCCTCTTCAACAAGATGTATATGATCTCGAACTACTAAAACTAATGGGAACATTGCAACTTAGTCAATAGAATTCGATTTGCACTAAAGGGCTACACAAACATTATATTGGTTATTACTCAAAGATCAACCAATTGTAAATGTTTTGATGGTATATGACTAGGCGCAAGCCACAAGAAGCTCTGTTTTTATCCAGATTTTATACCAGTTGTCACTCATCATCATCAAGATATCTCTTCAATTCTGAGACAACTGATGCTTCTCGCCTCCCCACACTACCCATAAGATATCTTGATTTGGATTTCTT